TTCGAGCGACAGCAATGGGATTTCGAGACGCCGCTACGCCAATTTTCTGCCATCAACGCTGAAACTATTGACAAGCTTGAGAGGCGCGGCATCAGCCTATATACGTTACGTGAAATGGAACAAAATGAATTGAAGGAGATATTGCGCAATCCGCGTTTCGCTGATTTGGTGCTTCGTTCGGCGCGCGAGGTACCCATGCTTGATGTCGAAGCAATGCTGCAACCAATAACGCGCACGGTACTGCGCATAAAAATTGACGTCTGGGCCAATTTCAATTGGAACGATCGTGTGCATGGGAAAGTCAGTGAGCTATTTTGGTTGTGGATTGAAGATCCAGAATCGAATTTCATCTATCACTCCGAGCAATTTCAGGTGATGTTTGAGATGAGTCGCTTTGGCAGCATTTTTTAAGCTGTAAATATGTTACTCTTTTCTACAGGCAACACGCAAGTTTGTTTATGGCGGCAAGCCGCAACAACTCGTAATGACCATACCACTTAAAGAACCATTGCCACCGCAATATTATGTACGCATTGCAAGTGATAATTGGCTCGGGAGCGCCACATGGACTGCCCTCTCATTTAAACATCTCGTGTTGCCCGAGCACCATCCGCCACTCACCGAGTTACTGCCATTACATCCCTTGCCAGTCTCAAGTTTGAAAAATCCGCAATACGAATCGCTATATAATTTCACACACTTCAATCCGATTCAGACACAAATCTTTCATTGTCTGTATCATACCGACAATAATGTGCTACTGGGCGCACCCACGGGCTCTGGTAAAACTATTGTCGCTGAAATTGGCATTTTCCGTGCTTTCAACAAGCATCCACGCGCGAAAATTGTATATATTGCCCCACTTAAGGCGTTGGTTAAAGAGCGTATAAACGATTGGAAGCGTCGTTTTGAGGGCCCACCTCTGCGTTGGAAAGTGGTGGAGCTGACCGGTGACACAACGCCTGATATACAGGCCATACGTGAGAGTCAAGTTATTGTGACAACACCGGAGAAATGGGATGGTATAAGTCGTTCGTGGCAGACACGTGAATATGTGCAGGATGTGGTTTTGATTGTGATCGATGAGATACATTTGCTGGGCGAAGATCGTGGGCCGGTCATTGAAGTGATTGTCTCGCGTACGAATTTTATCACTTCGCATACGGGGCGTACCATACGCATTGTCGGCTTGTCAACGGCATTGGCCAATGCGCAAGATTTGGCAAATTGGCTGGGCATCAAAAAGATGGGTCTGTACAACTTTAAGCCATCTGTGCGTCCTGTGCCACTACAGGTGCATATAAGTGGATTTTCCGGTGAGTATAATATATTGTATATTCAATTAAACTTGGCATATAAATTGTTTCCATGCATTTCGCAGGCAAACACTACTGTCCACGCATGGCCACCATGAATCGTCCCACATTCCAAGCTATTCGCACTTACTCACCCTGCGAGCCGGCCATCGTTTTCGTATCGTCACGCCGTCAGACGCGGCTGACCGCACTCGATTTGATCACTTTTGTCGCGGGTGACGAGAACCCTAAGCAATTCCTTCATTTGCCCGAGAACGAAATGCATCAGATACTGCAAGGAATCAAGGATTCTAACTTGAAATTCTGTCTTGCATTTGGCATTGGTCTCCATCACGCTGGTCTACAGGAACAGGATCGCAAGACTGTCGAAGAGCTATTTCTCAATCGCAAAATACAAGTACTGATCGCCACTGCCACACTGGCTTGGGGCGTTAATTTGCCGGCGCATTTGGTCGTCATTAAAGGCACTGAATATTTCGATGGCAAGGTAAAAAAATATGTGGACATGCCGATAACCGACGTGCTACAGATGATGGGTCGTGCCGGTCGGCCACAATTCGATAACGAAGGTGTTGCTGTAGTGCTGGTGCACGATGAAAAGAAAAATTTCTATAAGAAATTCTTATATGATCCATTCCCCGTTGAGTCAAGCTTGTTGGGCGTGTTGTCGGAGCATATAAATGCGGAGATCGTTTCAGGCACTGTACAAACCAAACAAGCTGCACTGGACTACCTAACGTGGACTTATTTTTTCCGACGCCTGCTACGTAATCCAACCTACTACAACTTGGACGGCTTGGAACCGGAGCAGCTGAATTCGTTCCTTTCATCGTTAATTGAACGCGTTATTTATGAATTGCAATCGGCAGCTTGCGTTCTGCAACGCGAAAACTTGCTGATACCGACATTCCTCGGCCGTATAGCGTCCTTCTATTACTTATCGCATCGCACAATGAAACACTTTCTGGACGATTTGGCCGAGGGTATGAGCACAAGTGAAGTACTGGCGGCCATTGCCGACTCGTATGAATTTGATCAGCAGCCGGTGCGTCACAACGAGGATAAATACAACGAGTGAGTACCCGAAATTCCTTTAATTAACGGATATTGGAGTTATTTTAACCCAAATATCTTGCTAAGTATCAGCTCCAACAACAGAAGTATTCAACTTAATTGCATATACTAGAACTATTACAAATAATGTTTTCTATACAAATAGGGAACTTGCTGAATCGTGCCGCTTCCGTCCACCTGCTCCCACCTGGGACTCACCCTACACAAAGACATTTCTGCTGTTGCAAGCGCATTTTTCGCGCCTCTCACTGCCAAATTCCGATTTTCTAACGGACACCAAATCTGCGTTGGACAATGCCACGCGTGTCATGCAAGCCATGGTTGATTATACCGCCGAACGTGGCTGGCTCACCACCACGCTACGACTCCAGCAGCTAATGCAATGCGTTATACAGGCGCGTTGGTTTGATGAATCGGAATTTTTGACACTACCACATGTGACCGCCGCCAATGTGTCTGTCTTCTATAACATAGAACACACGTATGCTTACCTAACTCTGCCGGCGCTCAAAGAACTGTGCAGGCAGGATTACGAACGTCTAGCTGGGCCGCTAAGAGATGTGTTTGAAGAGCAGGAAATCGAGCAAATCTATCGGGTATGAAATACAGTGCAATCAGTCGGCATTTGAGTTTATTTTTTAACTAAAAAATTTTTTTTTCTTCGACAAGGTGGTGCAAGCTGTGCCTGAAATTAGCGTGCAAATCTCTATACAAGGTAAGTATTATGAGGCTATGGAAGCTGTGCGTGTGCTAACTACAATGCCATCGACGGACAACTGGACGGAGATACATCCAAATGAGGTAGCAACATTTCCCATGTCTTCTATTTACCAAATTTTTAATATCTATTAATCTGCTTCAGGATTATGTACTCAGCGTTGAAATGAAACGCGTAAATTGGAATGCGCGTGAGCAGCGTGTACATCACGGTAATCCCACTGCTATACACTGTCCGAAATACCCGAAGGGAAAGAGTGAAGCCTGGTTCCTAACCCTGGGTTCCCAAGCCAATAGCGAGGTGCTCGCCATGAAGCGTGTAAGTGTGCGTGGTCAGCGTGCCACCAATCGTATTTGCTTCCAATCCACACCACGGCATGGACGTGTGGTACTAACGCTGTACCTTATGTCCGACTGCCTAATTGGCGTTGATCAACAATTTGAACTGCAATTCGATGTAGTTGACGCGAAAGCTTAAAAATTCACAAAAATAACGTTACAGTTGGAGGCATTGGGGAATCTGCCAGCTAGAGACTGAAAATTTAATTTGAAACCACTGTTTCCCTCTTTCAGTTTATCCTTGCAAATATTAAAACGGTTTGTAGTTACTATAAGTAAATGCAAACTTGTAAGTGTATTCATACTACCTGTATGTAAGTCTAACCTGTTACAATAATGTAGCTTTATTTAGCGAATATTAATGCACACTTAAAAACCAAAACTTTTTGGTTTATAAACCATCTAGTATCTATTTTATTATTCATTATTATCTCTTTATATTTTTGTAACTTAACTAAATTAAGTTCGTAAGCGAATATTCAAATATGTATTTGAGTCAGGGAAATGAAGTCCAATAAAGTTGAAGAATCAAGAAGTTGCTTGGTTTTTGAGGAAGCAGCATTTAACTTTCTGGTAACCGTATGTTAATCTGGCCAGTGGTAGGCTTAAAGATCAGTTAGTCCAGACTTAACTTAATTTAACTTACCGTAAAAGCTCAGTGAGTCTAGACTTAATTTTCGTAACTTAATTTAACTTAATATTTTGGCCCACCTGTTACATGAGTACGACAATTGCCATTTAATAAGGTAATTCTATATTAAAAGATGAGATTCCAACATCCGACGGTATTGCGAGCATTTCAGTAATCAGGAAATTGTTCGAGATAGATTGATTAAANTAAATAAATAAATAAATCTGTTCAATTTAAACTCAGTTTACTTAGTATAAGTTTAAACTGGCCCTTAGAGAATCAAAATGAAACAGATTTCGACGTGGCATTAAGTTACGTTGAGTCGGCTGTTCAATTATAAGCAACACCCAATTAACAGAATTTTTAAGAGGGCTCTAAGCTACGTTAAGTTGCCATAATCAGACCATAAGAATGCGCAAAGCACGACCTCACCCCCCTCAGTTGCATTCCGTATGTTACTCGACAACTGAAACAGCGCAGTGTCCAAGGTGTATTCAATAGGTGATAGCAGTACACCGATACCACATTATTGAATACGCCTTGGCAGTTTCCCTTGATCTACCAGGCCGATATGCATGTTGCCCATGGTGTAACGATAATGAAGCTAGGGTGGTGGTTCTTATATGGTTGTCTAGAATTTTCTCTATTGCCTTTAGAGCAAACAATTTTCGACTCCATGTATATAACACGGTGTCGGTAACGTCGATAATGATGTTTAACCGTGGATTAGTGCAAACCAGGCTTTGAGCAACCGGCCCTAAATGGGAATATGGAAAAGCGCGTCGTGAAAAGTTTCCGTGTATAAACACAGTCTTAGTGACGGCGGGAATTCTCAACAACTTAACTATCGATAGTGACTTAAAACCATCGATAGTTATGGAAAATGAAAATTATCGATAGTTCTCCAGATCTAGTCAACGTCAACGTCAAACGTCATCGTCAAACGTCAAACGATAGCGAATGTCAAATTTTGTTGAAGAAGAATAGCGGTCGCAGCCACATCAGCAACTACCAGGAAGCGTTTGGGTGAATCCAACACAAATATTTACTTTGTACGGTACAACAACGAGCAATTGTTTAGTGGTATCACCATGGCGATAAAACCAGGCATGGGACGTAAGTCCAGCAGTAAAAATCCACCAATTTTTAGTCATGAATTTGTTATACAAAATCATGCGGACATTATATCCTGCGTGGCCATGGTATTCGTTGTGGCACTAATGGATGAATCGACATCACCATTTGCCAGCGCCTTCATCTCGCTACATCACAATGTGACCGGAGAGGAGCCCAGCCGCGAAAATCCACACGGTAAGCCATTTAGCTACGTGGCAGGCATCAAGGATTATTGTGCTATCTTCTTTTATACGCTAACATGCATTATTATGCACGCCATCATACAAGAGTATGTATTAGATAAAGTTTCGAAAAGGCTGCATCTTTCCAAATTCAAACTTTCGCTATTTAATGAATCTGGTCAATTGATTGTTTTCTACGTGTTTTCATTCTTCATGGGTGCCAATGTCATTTTGCGTGAGGGCTACTTAAGTAAGTTTTCGCTGTTGTGGGAACAATTCCCTAACCATCCAATGTCGTTCCTGCATAAGCTGTTCTTCATCATTCAACTGGCTTACTACTTACATATGCTTCCCGAGCTTTATTTCCAGAAGGTGAAGAAAGAGGATCAACAGAGTAAAATCATTCATTCCATTTGCGGTTTTTCTGTCATCTGCTTGGCCTATACATTCAGTTTCCAGCGCATTGCATTAGTGCTGTTGACCTTGCACTATTTAGGTGAAATAGTGTCGCACGTTTTCCAACTTATTGGTGTCTTCGATCGTGATGAGAAACTCGCCAGTGTACGTTTCGTCAATAATGTGACTTTCGTATTTGTACGCTTCGCTACAATGGTAATTGGTGTGCTGACATTGTACTATGGTGTTGCCACGGAAACGGTGCTACGCGCCTATGCAGCACTTGTCGGCCTAATGGTGTTACAAGGCTATCTAATATATTCCTTCATTACTGAGGAACTGCGCGCAACGCGCGAAGCTAAGCGTGAAGCTAAACAACATCAGCAACAGCAGGCGAAGAAGTCAAAGGCGGCGAAGGAAAAGGCGAAAAAGAAGAAGGAGAGTGACTTGCCAGAGGCTGATCAGAGTCCCAGTCCCGCGAAGGCGAAGGCCAAGTAAGCATTCTATGGTGAGTGCCTAACAAACTACGTCCACCAACAACAACAAAAACATTAACAATAACAAGTTTGTCGATCATGCGGATGAGCATCTTTCCATAATTACCAGCTCATTTAAATAATTGTACAACTAAGATTTCGAGTTTTTCGAACATAAGCACTTTTAGTGCTAGATTTTAGGTTTTCTACAGTCACACATACAAACATACACATTTCCATGAACGGATTGCGGTTTTGAGTTGTGTATAGTAGGAGAAGGGAAAGCGATGAATGAATGCATTTACATACATACTTAACAACCAAATTTCATTGCAACTCAAAGCCAGATTGTGTGCAAGCAATCCAAACAAAAATCAAAAGCTTCTTCAAGCCAACGCCAACGCCGCCGCTGCCGCTGTAGCTGCATCTGAGGCATATTTTTAAATATAATTAAAGCTTAGTTATTTTCATTTTATTTTTGTACTGTTTATATGAACGTTTTCACAAATTTGTTTCTATGAAAAACAAAAAAAAAAAATTATAAAAAATTTATATACTATGAAACATAGTGCAATGTAGCCACTGCTGCTCCTTTTCTACTAAGCATCTATATTAAATAATTATTTGAATTTACACTGAAATTCTTCCAACACAACATGTAAAACCTATTTAAAGAGTAAAAAACAACAAAAGTAAATATTTAAAACTTAACGAAATAGTTATGTATGCATGAGTAAAATCTACGAAAATTACAATTCAAAATACACTCCGCTAAAAGTAAGACGTTTGAGACTGACATAAGCTCAACTTGCAAATTCCGCAAACATGTATTGCGATACACACACTGAACCATGACAAAGTTAATACATATAAAATTATAAAATTTTATAGAAATAAAAATTAGTATAGATGCAATCTTAAACAAAAAAAAAAAACATCTTAAAAATAACGATAAAAATTGTTCTGACAACTTTTGAAACAGGTATGCATGAACGCTAAAGAACTTCAGGTCGAATTCGATAACGTAGTTTTTAAGAGATTGTAAGCTGGCTTCAATATTTTTGTATGAATTATGCACAAAACGCAAAAAAAAATCGTAAAACGGATACCATGTGAAAAGTTTAAGAAAAAATATTCCATATTTAAGAGAACATTTCTTGTTCTCAATTTTTGATTATTTTATACAAAAAACATTAGTGAATTCGTAATGAATAATATTCAGCTGATTTAAATTTACATGTTTATATCACTGTAAAGCTACCAAGTTCAATAAAAATTTACTTTAAATTATCGAAAAACAGGACCAGTGTTACTAAGGGGGGTTGTGAAAAACATACAGATTCCAAAAGAGTTGTGGGTGTGCTGCTGGAGTAACAGCCCTTCGCCAGATAAAAGCCTGGGTCCTTCTGGTTAATATAAAGGCGGAAAGAGGCGTGGTGGAATCAAAACATGTTACTGTTACACCATTGGAAAGAGGAATATATGTGTACCTTCATATATCCTCACCCTTATGCATGAATCTGCAAATTTATCAGTTTTGAGTTATTGGGTTGACTTGTTTAAGCTTTGGATGCCCTATGTTATCCGAAAATTCAGAATGCCATGCGTACACGGAATCCACTTATTTTGTAGGGTCAAGTCCAGCAGCAAAAAACTTTCAAACTTGATTTCCCAAAATTTTAATTTTTACACATTCATGTTTCTGCCATACGGGCGACGATATTTAAAGTTTTATGTTTGCTGATACAATTTTTTTTAAATAAAAAAAACTTAAAACGACGTTCCATCATTTTGTTTTTGGACAGGAAATGAAAACAAGCAGCCGCGCATCCGGTTTTACATATATTAACCTTTTGAAGTACTGCCTGGTCGGTCTGTTTCAACTCGGTTATCTCTGTCGTTTATTTGGCCGTTGCGGCTGGATAATTGCTTTTAATGACTTTATCTAACATTTTCATTAAGCGCATCATGGCGTTTAATAATAATTTTTTAAAATTACCCGTATAAAACCTCAGCGCAACACTTTTGTCATTTCTACTGCGCCTGAAAATATGCCGCAACACCTGTTTTGTCGATCACAAGCATACAAACTCCGAGTTAAACGCCATAAGCGCTGTTATCGACTCCACCATGCATATATACGGTGACCATTCGTACCGATTTTAGCGGGACAGTACCGATTTTGAGAAAATTGTCCCGCTGAATATTTTTTAGGAGTCGGGACGTATAAGTGGCCCGCTTTTTCCTATTTGTACCGGCTAGGTCCCGTTTTTTCAGTATTTTCTTTATTAATTTAATAAGAATATCCTTGTACTCTGACCCGGAAACGGTTTTTCGTACAAACATGACAGCACTTTCGTTATCACAAACGACATAGAATATAAAGGAGACATAAACATAGCCAGCATCCTTACTTTCTGTCATCTTTGGTTATATTTTATTCTGTCAAACTGTCGCTATATTGCAGTCTATTTTTCTTGTCACAGGTTTTTTTTTAACTTTGGTAATGATTTGTTAAGTTTTTTTTACGAAACAATTCTAACTTGATTTTAGGAAATTATTAAAATTAATACTAATTCCTTAAAAAAAAATCATAGATATGAAAAATATAAATAAGGGAAGATACATTTTAGCATTCTTTGGCTATTCCCCTTTCGATTATTTAATGTTTATTATTTTTTTATGAAAGTGAAAGACTATGTAAGTCAAAATTTAAAATTTTGTACAAAAAATACCAATCGATTCAAAGTGCTAATTTTAAATTACTAGGAATTACCGCTGATTTTTGTAATTTTTTTTTTGTGGGAGGTGTTGTTAATGTTCTCCTGACAAAACAGTAAATTCTGGAACATACCTTGCATGGAAGAAAATCCGCGAACAAAAAATTGCCAAAAATCAACGGTAAGCCCAACCTACTTCCAACGTGTACTTTATTATACTAAAATTTAATGGTGAACATTTGCTAAAATTCGTGGATTTTTTTTAAATGTTCGACAAAGTTTGAAATTTAAATTTATAAGTTTTTTTTAGCATAAAAAATAATAAACATTTTTATACAAAACAAAGTAGCCAAAACTTGCTAAAGGTTCTATTCCTATTTACATTCTCGCCACCGTACATATATGTGTATATATTTTTTCGATCATTTTTCTATGTTTTAAATAAAACTATATTAAAAAATGTCATGTCTTTTTGTGCTTGTTTTGTTAGCTTTAGAAATGTTGCGATTTTTGCCCACATAAATCTGTATGCATATAACGTGTGATCGATGAAGCAGGGTTTGTGTTACCCGGACCGTTAGGCGCGCCCACCTCTGTTTGCGCTGCTATACCGACTTATTCTGATATTTTTTCATTTACTGTCATTCTAATCGGTTTGGGACCGAAATGCATTACCGCGAATCGGTTAGGGGCCAAATTGCCACAACCTNTCTCGCCACCGTACATATATGTGTATATATTTTTTCGATCATTTTTCTATGTTTTAAATAAAACTATATTAAAAAATGTCATGTCTTTTTGTGCTTGTTTTGTTAGCTTTAGAAATGTTGTGATTTTTGCCCACATAAATCTGTATGCATATAACGTGTGATCGATGAAGCAGGGTTTGTGTTACCCGGACCGTTAGGCGCGCCCACCTCTGTTTGCGCTGCTATACCGACTTATTCTGATATTTTTTCATTTACTGTCATTCTAATCGGTTTGGGACCGAAATGCATTACCGCGAATCGGTTAGGGACCAAATTGCCACAACCTTAAGTTTTAATTAATCGCACCAGTCTGGTAACCACTGTACACGCGTTTCAGGCGCAGAATAAAAGTTAANAAAGGGAAATTTCGCTTGGTTTGTCAAGCCGCTTGTGTTGTGTATTTCGCTCTTAAGTTTTAATTAATCGCACCAGTCTGGTAACCACTGTACACGCGTTTCAGGCGCAGAATAAAAGTTAATTTTCGTGTTGGAGAATATAAGAAAATGTAGTTTTCTTATTTGAACGCACAATAAAAGCTAAAAAGTGCTTTTTCATTTGCCACTGTGCAACAAGTGCAAAGAAAATAAACAGATGCTGTGATAAAGCGATTTTACTGAGCTAACGCAAAGTGCAAAAAAATTCAACGCAAAACCATTGTCGAGTTGTGACGTCTAGGAAGTGCTATCGAACACAAGAAATGTTTAATTATCGTGTTTCTCTGTCGCAGCATTTATTATCACCATCATCGTTATTCGTTATCTCATAAACAGCGTACAGCATATTTAATCGCTGGTGGAGCAGCAGAGCAACGTGGGCATTGGAACTTTAGCAACATTAGTGTGGAAAAGGGACATTAAAAAGTACACAGTGGTCGAGAACCCACAGCAGCCGCAGTACGCAGTACACATTCATAGCGGTGTACCTGTGCTTGTGCTCCTGCTATTGAGTGCTAGTGCTGTGTATATATAGGGTAGCGGGTGGAGGTGGAGGTCGGTCTTCTCTGCCTTATCAGCTCCGAAGTGAGTGCTGCTGCCACTGGGCCGCTTATTGTGCCCTCCATATCACAGTCAACGTACGACGTCGTTGTTTTTGAATAGTGCCGGCCAACGAAGGTCAGACGATATGATATTTATTTGCTATTGTAGTTTTGGTTAAGTTAAAAAGTGAGATTCGTCACATACATACATATATTTAACACTTTCGTATCAGCTTAAATTAATACGGCGGCGCACGCAGCGACATTTTTGTCGCGCGCGCTTACGCCAAACGCTGGATATCACAGCAGCAAACGCGCCATATTGGTGAGCAATACACAAAGTATTTTATATGGACATGACAGACAAGAATGTTGGTCATAATGGAAACCAGTGGTCGAAAGCAACGACATCGGCAGCAGCTGCGATTGCCGCGCAACAACATAAACAACTCAACAGCAGCTCATTGCCTGGCACACAACCAATGCATCATCAACAGCAGCGTCTATATGATCCATCAGCGTTAATGCCAGCACACAGCAGCATTTTTGGAGCAGGTGTTGGTGCCGCACTTGGACATCCAGCACATCCGGACGGTATAGCAGCTTATGCGGGTGCACGTTTTCACCCACCTCCACTACCAACTCAGCAGTCTACATTAGATGCAGCAAACTTATCACATACAATAGCGCACCAGCATTCTCACCATCAACCGCATCACTTACAGCATCAACCATCGCCAACGCATGCTCCGACAACAGTGCTAACAGCGCCAGCTGCCGCTTCGCCAATTGTACCTGTACAAAGTGGCTTTGTGCCACCACCATTACTGCCAGGTGCAGCCGCTGCAGTGGCAGCAGCCGCTACGTCAGTTTTAACGCCAAATCCATTTGCAGTCACACCACAGCTGGAGCATCTTACCTCACATTTAAATTTGCAACAGCAAATAGAATTGAACAAAATCATGAACGTAATGAACACACAGGTTAGCGCAGTTGGTGTAGCATCAGGTGGAGCTATGGGAACAGGAGGCAGCAATGCAGGCAACTTAGAAGGTCAAGCGCTAGCGCAAGCACGACATATTGCAACGGATGTGCCAATGACCAGTGCTGGCAGCAACAGCAGCAGTTGCGGTAGTGCTGCTGTGTCCGGTGCTATAAACAGCACAATTGCGGAGAATGTATTAAATGCGATAAGTGCAACGCCAAATAGTAGTGTAAGCGCTAGTGCGCCAGCAGTACATGGGCGCTTGACAGGCATTGGAGTAAGGATGCCGAATGATGAACGTTTACGTCGGATACAAGAGGTGGTTGAGTCGGGTGTAAGGTAAGGAGGGGAGGATTAACCGTTAAAATATATTTCCTTACAAATTTTTACTATATCTTTTTAGTGAGTTAGCAAAGCAGCAAATACAACAAATCGTTGATCGTGTCGCAAC